CACTTTGGTCCCCACTTCACCTGGTTTGAGATCAGGTACCCTTATTAATGTTATGTGCTCTCTCCTCTCCCTCTCCTGGCAGTTTTCCACTACTGCCAATCCCTTTCTTACAGTATTATGATAAACATTCGGGGTCCGCTTATGAGTGAGACCGTGCAGTCCTCAGTTCTTTGTTTCTGTGATAGATCACTGAGTATGATAAACTCTAAGTCCATCCAGGTTGCTATGAAGTTCGTAATTTGCTATGTTTCTTGATCGCTGTTGCTAGATGCTGTAGTAGTTGGGGTGAGGAGGGTTTTAAGACCCTCTACCTGCCCTCCAGGGAATTCTAGTCCAGTTTTGGTGACAGGACCCTCTTTATCCTGAAGGTGTAGGCTCATGAAAAAAAAGCAGAGGCTTTGGGGTCAGCTGGGCCTGGGTGGGAATCAGGGTCTACTGTTTATTAGCCCTAGGACCTTGGGTAAGTCGCTTAACCTCTCTGAATCTGTTTTCTGTCCTGGAATGCAGGGATTATAGCAGCATTTATATCATAAGGTTGGAGAGATTAGATAAGAGATTGTGTAGGAAGTATTTAGCCCAGTGCCTGGCATATAGTATTAGCTATATTGATGATAACTATTATTACTGTTTTTTTATTTTTTTTGCGTCAGAGTCTCACTCTGTCGCCCAGACTGGAGTGCAGTGGCACGCTTATGGCCACCGCAGCCTCGACCTGCTGGGCTCAGTAGATTCTTCTGCCTCAGCCTTCCAAGTAGCTGGAACCACAGGGGTGTGCCACCACACCCAGCTAATTTTTTGATTTATTGTGGAGACGAGGTCTCGCCATGTTGCTCAGGCTGGTCTCGAACCCCTGGACTCAGACAATCCTCTCGCAAAGTGCTGGGATTACAGGCTTGAGCCACCACACCTGGCCTGTTATTGCTATTATTATAGAATGCCAGATGGCTGGAATCGCAGCTCAGCTGGGTGACACACTTCATATGGCATTCAAATTACTTTCTCTAAAAAGCAGAACTTTTAGGGGAATAAAAGGCATGGTTTGGTTTAGAGTCAGGTAGATGACCAAATGTCTTCTTTGCGAATTATTTTTATTTCTTTCTTTCTTTCTGAATCGGGGTCTCTGTCTCCCAGGCTGGAGTGCGGTGGCACACTTATGGCCACCACAGCCTTGACCTGCTGGGCTCAGGCAAGATCCTTCCACCTCAGTCTTCCAAGTAGCTGGAACTACAGGTGCGCACCACCATGCCCAGCTTATTTATTTATTTATTTATTTATTTATTGTAGAGATGAGGTCTTGCCAAGTTGCCCAGGCTGGTCTCGAACCGATGCCAGGCAATTCTCTCACCTCTGCCTCCCAAGTGCTGGGATGA